ACCGGTTGAAATCATAAATAAGAGGTCGTACATATTTATGAGTGACAGTGGTAAAGAAATTTTCTGATATGATATAGCTGCCAAGATGTTGTAGAAAGAAAAATTCGACGGAGATCATACAAGAAAAGTCACATTTTTGTCTTTTATTGACGCGTATAGCACAAAAATTCTACTTCTTTCTTTTTGTTTGATCTAAGAATTAAATACGTGTTTGTACATCGACCTAAATATTTTACAAACCGATTATCTGTTTCATATCTTTAAACTTTAACAGAATATTTTTCTCCTCACTTATGTTATATTAAAATGCCCCTTTTTATTTATAAAACAGCATCATAATCAGAAAATTAACAACAAACATTGACAAAAAATTTATATCTCTTCACTGTGTTTTTAAAATTCACGTGCAAGACGATAATGCGTATTGGAAATTTTTTAATCATGTATCGTATTGTCCGATGAATTACACTTTTAAATATCGAATGAAGAAATAGTTAAAGGAAACATTAGATGGGGGCAGAAGAACAGATTGAATGAATACTAAAGAGGAATAAAGTTGAAAGAGTCGATTGGATGTAGTAGGCTAGCGACATGTTTCGTGAAAGTGCGGACACAGTGACGCATGAATTAACTCGTCGACGTGTTCGTTCGAAATTCACGGCGCGCAAAAGTGAATCTCGAGAGTATTCGATTTGGCACAGTAGAAATTATGGTGTTGCGTGTGTGCCGTACCGGCGAGCGTGAAATTGCTATATCCAGTTGTAACGCACGGTTACGTTATCGTTACTGCCTCATAATTACCATCGGTCTTCTGTGTGTATTTTATACCGTGACGGGAATAAACGAAAGCGTGCCGTTTCCATACCAGCTCGCGGACATCAATAAAGAACTCGTGCAAACGATGGAAATACGTAAATTACGCTTCAAACTAACCTAACGTCAAACTCCTTTCACGAACTGCTTATTAGTAACCAACCGAGAAAATGAATATTCTTGTTTCTCATATAGTTATTGCTTTTAGCTACGAAAATTCTAGATAATCGACTATATAATAATAATTCAAGTCTAATTGAAGAGATTCCTGGAAAACGGACCCATAAGACGAAATAGTGACTGGAATTTTGAATAGATTAAAAGTATTAATTGTAGTTTGCTAATATCAACTAAGTTTCGACCGATAGTTATAATTGCCGTTAAAGAACCTTGTTCTTTTTATATTTGTATAATGAAGAAGATCTTCATAAAATAATTCAGCTATTGAGCTAGAAAATAGGCTCATCGAAAACATTTATCAGGAAACTCGAATAAATTTTGCTGTATTTAGTATATTGTATTATGAAGTACATGTGAAGTGAACGAAATAACAGATTTAAAATATAATAACTAAATTTATAGACACTTTTTTCAGAAAGTTCCTCAACTCCTCCATTTAAAAACCATACTAGATCAAATAATACACTTACCGACGCTGCAACACGTGTCACTTGATCGTGGACACGTACCACCAACTACCCAATCGTTACATTTCGTCGATTCAAGACAATTCTCTTCAGGGCATATGCTGTTTGCGGTTGTATACTCTGGAAATAGAACATTAGTATTATCAGCCTATCATCGTTGAGGATCTTTAAGTAATTGGTTGGACATCGTGCGACGAAATTTTGTACGATCGACAGAAGAGTTTCGATGGAACATGAGGTCAGCGAAGCGAGTAAAACGATGGAAGGGTTGAGGCGGGCTCGCTGGGGCGAATATTTCAATTTACCAGGACGTTGCTGTGTCGCGGTAAAGAAAGCCACTCGTTCTTCGTCCCATCAAAGGGAAGTTTGTAGCTATTTATGGATCTTGCATGCCGCCACAATGTAAAGTCACAGTTAAACATCGAACGAAAAAGATCGAAGGTACTACGAGTGAATAATTTGATAAAATTCACAATTATTCAGATACTTATATTCAATATAAGAACAGATTGCTTCTATTATCTTCCAAGTGTTTAGATTATAGCGTTGAATTAAAGTGGCTAGTCTGAGAAGCGAATTACCTTGATATCTCCTACCATTTACAAAAGAATATCTGCGTGACGAAGCGAGTGAAAATTCTTTATAAAGTCGAGTCTCTTCGTTGATCTTAAGGTCATTCACTTTTGTAGAATTGTTACCATCTTTAAGGCGTTGATATAAGAAACTTTTTCTTTTTAATATGTACATTGCAAAGATTTGTTGGATTTATAAAACCATGCGATACTTTACTTATTCGAATCCATCACCAAAATATTGGTTAACGCTATAACTATCAACCTGTGTTGTGAATAATGTAAATATATTTATTTAACATGGTATAATGGAAATAAATAAGCAGATATAACTATATAAAAATAAATAACAGATATATATATATAATTATATTGTGTATAAATATACACGCATGGATAATAATAATTAAAGTAGTACAATAGAAATAAATAGGTATAAATATAATTATATAATAAAGGTAATAAATATACACAGTCATATTTTTACCTCAGTAATTACAAAAGCGAAAAATCTGAATACTATTCTTTTGACGAATCTGGTAGTTCTAGCGTTAAGTTAATCGATTTGATCGTTAGATTTCTGTTTCCTTACCGATGAAGAGCAGAAGGGTGGCCACGAGGGCGACGAGAAAAACAGACGGGCAGAGCTTCATGTTGTCGTTGATGATGTGTCGAGGAACGCGTGCCTCTTTGACAGTCGACGATTCAATGGTCTCACTTTCCCGGGTCGAGCATTATATAAACGTAAGCGACCAACGTTACGCGACACGTATACACTCGCACACAGGCGGCCGCCCGCCCATTTCGTCGTCGTGCATTTCATTATCTCTCCGAGACCAATGTACGAACACGTTGTTAGTTCTGTCTTGAAGCAATTCGATCGATCAGTCACGGTGAATTCCGGAGAGAAGCGCGCTTTCGTACTTCCCCTCGCGAGTAAACAATTGACGCACGTACAGCTTGTTAGGCATGTTGACGACTGGATTAATGTTTAATCTGTGACATCCGTGCAATATCGAATGTTTCCATTTTATTCATTTTTGCCTACCACAGAGAGGAGAAGTATCGAAGATTTTTTTCTACGACATTAAAGATAACTCTTGGAGAGTATGTGTTTTTAGATTTATATACTATTTTTCAGATTTTGCTATAGATAACGAGTAATTTCTTCCTACCTTTCTTTCTCGTTAAGATAAATGTTAAAGATAACAAACTGAGATCTTCGTGTCGATCTTTGGCATCCATGTAACCGCAGGTTTTTAATTTCTATTTGTTTCAAGCCTTCGTTTTGCAAATGTAGATATTGTAAATGTAGATTTTTATTATGTAAAGTGGTTATTTTCTGAAGATTTTGTTTGTTGAGGTTTTTGTATCAATCCTAGAATACATAAGACCACAGATTTTCGTCTTCCCTATGTTTCTTGATTTCTATTTTGTATTTTCTCCGAATATATAAAATCTTATATATGTATGTAGGTGCGATAAAGTATGTTAGGACGAGCGGTATTGATTCTCGAACCACGCTTGTTATAGCATGTATTCGTTGTAACATACATTTATGAGTAGATGTAAGCATAAGCATATGTTATTAGGAATAATTCATCTTAGGACCACATGGTTACAGCTAGTACAACGATTTAAGCAGTGGAAAAATATAATTTAAATAAATAATTTCGCATCGTTTACTCTTTACCATCGTAACGAAGGTTTAGTGAAAAAATCGGCAGAACGGCTAATCTTTCTTCCTCTTCGTTGTAGCGTCCTTGCACGTTATAGCATTTTGATCTTAGTCATAAAAATTGCTCGTTACTACGTTATAGCGTACCTCACCGTATACAAATTTTCATCAGAAAGATTAAAAACGCTAATGCGTCACTAGAAGCATGTCTCAAAGTTTTTACCAGCTCCCATAAAATTGTCGTTAATTTTCCGGAGCGGGTCGGTTATGATCGAGTCTGATCTATGCACTTCGTCGGGAGAAGATTAATGAGCCTCCTGTCGACGCAGAGCAATGTTATCCGAATTGTGTCGATAAAAGGTTTACCGATGATTTATGACCGATCCCCTTCGTTTAATGGAACCACCTCGAAGATTCGAAAACTTTGGTCATACTTGGCCGAGCGACGATTGTTCCGGCAACCTTTTTAGATATCGAGACTGTAGTAGCCGTTGGTGGTCGAAACTTTACTTAAAGGACACTACTTTGCCACTGGCGAGAGAATGTTTCGTGTTCAGATACCCGTTTAAATGACTCAAGTTATTCTCGATGATTCGATCTGGACGTCTTAAGTGACCTTTCATGGAAGTACACATCCGTTTATCGAGGCTTTTATGAGCATTCGATAATATTCTTTTTGTCAGTGACATTGAAATTATATCGTCACTATACCACGTAATAACGATAATTTCACCTCTGCGAATTTTGTGAAGAAATTTACACGTAGTTATCTTATTCCTTTTATGGAAGACAAATATTTCTTTCCAGATAAATAGCTAGAAGAAAAAATACCGAATAATACATATCTTTATCCGTGTTGTTTCGTCATATTATTCCAGGTATAGGGAATATTTCCGGGAACACGTTATTCTTAACGCGAACCGCATATTTTGTAAGTAAATTTCATTGACTTCGCGGTGTCGTTTAAATTCAAGGAAAAATCGTTTCTTTGGAAAGTTTTGGCGAACTAACGCGTTTGAGAGTCAATAAACTTTGAAGATTATTAAACGCGTTGTTCACCGAGACCACCTTAGAATCTTATCAAAAAACAATGTTGGAACTTATCTAATTTACCAAACTGGGTTTTACGTGAGATTTCGAGACGCGTAAGTTTCTACTATTTACTTAATATTGAGATAGTTGAATCGTTTTCCGAAAGCATTCAGCCTCTATTTTTATCCACCACAATTAAAAAAACGACATAGAAAACGTAAAGATAGAAAGTAAAAAGAAAAGAAAAAGAAAACGCAGTCACAGTCAGAAAGGAACACTCAGTACTTTATTGTTAATCATTTCAACGTATACTTGAATCCATCTTAAGAATTACAGAAAGGTGCGTGCAGAGGGGAACGTTTGAACGCTTCACTCCGTTTGGCACTTTACCAACAATTTTCCTGTGATAGTCAACGTTCTGCAACGATGTGTTATTGACATTATCGTTACCATCAAACAGGTTGGTAGCATTGGTGGCGTTCAAACGTTCTGTTCGCGGTTCTCGGAATTCGAGGCGACGAAGAGCTCAGAATCGCTTGATCGATTCCTCTGGCAGCGTTACAGCGATCGTTTATGCCTTGTTTTCTCTCGTTGTCTCTCCTCTCTGCCCTTAAATGGTAAATCAAAGGAAGGAGCGTGATGATTATGCGTTTAGGTTTCTCGCGAAGAACAGAGTTTAGTCGGGTTTGTTTTTTTCGAATCTACGCCCGTTAAAGATGTGAGGTCTTTCTTTCGAACGGAAAGGAATACAATGGAACGATATAAGTACTTTGCTACGTACGACGGGCTTTCGAATGTACAAGTATAAGTCGGGAGGTTTGCGTTGCTGGTGGGCGCGTCGTGTCGCTTCGAGAAATAGTAGAATTTCTATAACGCGATATAATGCGATGATTAGGATCAGAGATTTATATAGGATCGTTATGTAAACGTGATCTTGGAAAATTTATGCTCTACCGCGTCTATTGTTCGTATAAATTATTAATACACTGTGTACGCCAGGTAAATAATAGATTTATCGATTGATCGTTGTATAATTTACTCAACTGTCTATACTGGGGTTAAATGAAAACAAGCAAACGACGCCACTTCTGTCGAAGATCTTTAAGAATATTCAAAACTTAAAAAATGTAATTCCTGTACACAATATATCAAGATCGGTGTAATTAATTCGTGTATAGCATAGTTTCTCCATTCGAGGAAAGTGAAGGAACACGATTGAATGTTTTTCGAAGGCACCAGCAGTCGCGAAAATTCCCAGCGTTTACCTAGCGTCAGTATCTAGTCTCGTATGTACAAGTGGATAGACTTATCGGTGCTTAGCATCGCGGTATACGCGTCTTTAGTGTTCAGAATACTGTACACGATATATAGCACTTTCATAGGAATTGAAGGACCGAGCTGACTAGAAAATATCGAGGCGACGTGTTCGTCGGGCGACCGGGCAAAAATTCGCCGAGATTCTAGCGAAGTTGTCATCTTTTTTTTTTCGTATTTTTATATCTTTTTAAGTTTTTAGTTTTGCCCGATCGATAGTCAGAGATAGAGATCGAGAACAGAAGAACCCTTTTCAAGGCTTCGCCTTGCTTCGCTTCAAAGATAGAAGTGCATCGCGAAAATTTCTCCTTCGATCATCTCTTTACGATCGAGAAAATCTCAAAATTCGGCGCGGCTCGTTCTCCACAGCATGCACTAAAACTAACGATTGTACACTTCCGTCGAGTCCCGACGTCGGGAGTTTTTAGTCGGCAAGAGGAGATTCATTGTCCGTTTTCTTGTATCACAGTTTAGTGGGATCGTTTATGCACCAGGTCGATAGTCCGCGATTACGTTTTTCAGGAACGTATAAATGTCTTTGAACGTCGGTCTCGAGGTCTCGTCCCTCCGCCAGCATGAGCACATCATCCTGTAGACTTCTTCCGGACACATCGTGGGCTTTGGAAGATATATCTGAAATGAAAATATAGATTTGTTAAAGAGGTTACTTGTCTAATCTTCTAGCTTGTTTTATCGAATTAATAATATGTTATATATGAACAATAATATGTTATTAAAAGACATAAATAGAACTCCATTACATGTATCAGAAACACAAAAAATGTTTGTAAGATTTAAAATTATGTTAATAGCATCGTAAATACAATTTCTTCGAACTTCGTAAAATTGTAGGATTTAATTGGTGAAGGATATAGCAACGAAAAGTATCTTGAGTAAATGTTTCCACCTATTCTTCCCTTTTCTTTCATAGCCACTATATTAAACCATGGAACTCAACAATGTAAATCAGCCGAAAATAATAACAAATAAAATGTAGCATATTAACATGTTGGTCTTTGAAAGCTTAATAAGAATATTTCCGTCTTTTTATCGAGTGAAAATATCGTTACTATCGTAAACTGTTTTAAAAGAAGAATTTACAAAATGTATCTGTGTATATCTAACACGTATATCTTTATTCTTAAAATATAATATACGTTATAAAGAAAAGAGAAACGCTCGAATACCTGTAACTCAGCCCCATAGTACATATGCTCTGCGTTCTGTATCACTTGATCGTTGGTTAGATGTTGGAAAGGTTTCTCTCTGGCCAGGCTCATCACTTCCCACAAAGTGACAGCGAACGACCAGACGCTGCTCGAGCAAGTGTACCTGTCCTAGAATCGAAACGCGCAAGTTCATTGGTACTATTCCCATTTATGGACTGGTCGATCGATCTAGAACGCGCTCGTTAAAGAGAGAACGAGATTCGCTTGACGAAAATCATTTAGCCTTACCAGCAGAATGCTTTCCCACGGCAGCCATCTGATTGGCGCCGGCGGTCTGCCGCCTATGTCACTGTAATCCTTCTTGTAAAGGTCACTGCACATCGCTATGTCGGTCACTTTCACGGTGTAAGAGCGGCCCACTAGACAGTTTCTGGCTGCCAGGTCCTTGTGCACCAGATTCTTTGACTCGAGGAACCTCATGCCAGATGCTATCTGTGTCCCCATGTACATCAGGCAGCTTTGACTAAAATCATAATATAATGCTTGCTTTTGAACCTGTCGACGTTAATTGATGTTCGTTCGTTCGTCGTCCGATCTATGGAATGTACGAGCAACTCTATTTTCATACAAGAACGAAACAATTTCTATTTCTAAGATCACGGCGCTTTCGAACATTCCTTCACCGGAGTTTCGCTCGTTTATCTCGTCGATTCTATAGGTTGAATGAATAAATCATTATTTATTCTAAAATTCTCATAGCTTGAATTGTAATGTAAAATTCAACTATACGTGATCTAGGATGAATGGCTTCAAAAATTTATACCGAAATACGCGAAATACTTCTTTCTCTTTGTAAATCACAAATTTTTGTTGCTGTGTTTTATCGCTTTAATGAACGCAAAGGAGCTTACTTAATGATAAAACCAGTGAACGTGGGTGTTCGACGTTATGGATAGTCGTTATGTACGTACCATTAAATATTTATATAATGAAATAAGTTCAAAACATAACAATTTACATTTACCTAAACCTTCTACCAGAGTGCATTAGAACCTTTAAACTACCAGCTTGCATATATCGTACAATAGATAAAAGCTAAAGTTTATAACTTCCTACAGGAATTGAGGGATTAATGCTCCATAGCAAAGCTTCATTCTCTTTCAAATTTTCTCGGGAACTTCTCTTTTTTCTCACTTCACGTTCGCGAATGTAAAATATTACGTTAATTATTATCCGAGTAACAAAACACTTGGCGGAACATTATCAGCTACGACAAGAGTAATGTACGATCTCGTAATCGTATATAATCGGAAGCTGTATAACGCGGAAGTGCCATTAAGATCAATCGGGTACGTTATAAACGAACCAGGCTGCGATTGTACCGAATAAAAGAGAGGCCGCGCGACAAGTGAATATATTATTCATCCGTGAATTATTACAGTGATCGGTGGTACCATCGCGATTTCATTTCGTAACGCTCGTATAAGGCTATGTTCGAATTATCCGCGTGCCCTGTGATGCTCGTACGTATCGTTTTAGAATCGGTGCACCGCGGCGAATAGCGGTATCTCACCTAAGGGCTTTCAAATTGCAGCTTGGCCTAAGCGTTCCCGTAAGTGGCACACTGTACTGAAGATAATGGGCGAGATCACCGAGTTCCGTGTACTCGATGATCGTCCACGGGACTGGTTCCACGGTGCACACTCCCAGGATCCGAGCTACGTTCGGATCTGACAGGCTGGACAGAAATCGGACTTCTCTTATTTGGTCCGTCGTACTACCGGCTCGAATGTCACCGCC